AGACGGAACCTGTGCTTTTACTGCCAAAAGCCAGGACACAGAATAGCGAAATGCTACAAGAGAAATCAAAGACAGAGGCCAGCACAAGTGAATCATGCGGCAATGCGTCATGTAGACGATGATGAAGAGAAGGAGTTGGACATCATGAATGTCAAAATCAACAATGTAACGGTTTCGGACAACTCCAGACAACTAATTCGAAAGGATGCCTATATTGGAGGCAAACAAGTCAAAGTGCTGATCGACAGCGGTGCCGATCACAACATCATTCGACACAATTTGGGCCAGAACCTCTATCAGAGGAGGACAGTGCGATGATATTTGATGGAAGCTCGACCACAAAGAAAAGCACAAACATCTGGCAAGACAAGATCAAGATGGAAGGACAAGTCTACAAAGACGTGGTTTTGACAGAGTGGGAACTGACAGAGCAACAAGACATTATTCTCGGAAAGCCTTGGCTTGTCCAGTACAATCCAAGAATCGATTCGAGGACTCATACGACTGAGTTACCGACTCCCTTAGCTCCTGTTGAGTCAGGAGAGTTTGAAGAACGCGTAAAGCAAGGATACTATGCCGAAGTCTACTTAATGAGCATCAAGAAGAAGGAGATCGAGCCAGTGCCGGTTCCAATCCACCAAGTGCTGGACGAGTATCCCCAAGTCTTTCCAGATCAATTGCCGGATGTCTTGCCGCCAGAGCGAGACATTGAACATGAGATCCTGCTTAAGCAGGACGCCAAGCCGTCCAACGGAGCGCCATTTCGCCTGTCCAAAGTGGAGCAAGAAGCTCTGGATAACTTTGTGGACGACTTGGTGAAGAAAAGATGGGTGGAGATTCCGAATTCACCCTGGGTCTCCAACATTTTCGGCGTTCCAAAGAAAGATCCGACAACGGGCAAGTTTACGACGAGGCTTGAATGGATCCGTTCTGCCAATCCAACGATGCCAATACGCTGGGTAATTGACTACAGACACGTCAACAGTCAAACCAAAGTCCCAAAGATTCCGCTTCCTCACATCGAAGAGCACTTCGACAAGATGCAAAGTGCAAAGATCTTCTCGGTTATCGACTTGGCATCCGGGTATCACCAGATGCGAATGAAAGAGAATAGCAAGCAGTATACCGCGTTCGGGACGAATAGCGAAATTTATCAGTGGAAGGTTGCTCCCATGGGTCTCACAGGAATGCCAGGCACATGGACAAGACTCATGCGGACGCTGCTGTCAAAACTGAAATTCGTGGTTGTCTATCTGGACGACATTTGTGTGTTTTCAAGCTGTTTCGACGACCATCTGCAGCATTTGCGCCAAGTGTTTGCTGTTCTTCAAGACAACAAGCTGTATACTCGAAGCGAGAAATGCTCATTCGGCAAGCAGTCTGTTGAGTTCTTGGGTCATATCATTTCGGCCGAAGGTCTCCAAGTCGACGCTCGCAAGATCGATGCTGTCACAAACTGGCAGACTCCGCAGAACAACAAGGACTTGCAGCGTTTCATCGGGCTAGCTGGCTACTATCGACGATTCATTAAGGGCTTTGCACTGCTAGTATTGCCCTAAAGCAATCTGTTGAAGAAAGGAATGGCCTGGTGTTGGCACGATGAACAAGAACGTGCATTCAGCTCGCTAAAGCTCATGCTCCAACAAGCACCAATACTGCAGTTGCCCGTTTATAAAAAGCCTTTCATTGTCACTACGGATGTTTCGCATCAATGTGTTGGAGGTGTCTTGTCCCAACAGCATGACGACATCGATCTACCAGTGGCCTACTATTCGCAGAAACTCGGTGTCCATGAGATCAACTGGCCAGTCCACGAAAAGGAGCTCTATGCAATAAAACGCTAAAAAGCTGGCGACACTATCTCCATGGCACCAAATTCACCGTCATTACCGACAACAGCGCCTGCAAGTTGCTCTTATCGCATAAAATGTATCAGGCAGACTGACTCGGTGGTTGGATTTCTTTGGTCAATTCCAGCTCGAGCTGAAGCATCGACCTAGTCATCAAAATGTCGTCACAGGTGCGCTGTCACGTCCGCCACTTGCCACCAAACCTACTCCAATTCGTGATCAAAAGGGTTTTCCTGGGGGGAGGTCAGTCCATCAAGCTCACAAGTGTCAACCGGAACTAAGCAAGCCTTTATCCAACAAAGAACCGTCATGCACATTAACGCGATAAGCTTTGAAAACTCGAACACGATCATCACTGCGCACATGGAAGACAAGACGTAGAAGTTGATTCAAGAAGCCTACGAGAAGGACAGCTTCTTCAGAGACGTCTTCCGAGGCAATCGACAGGACAAGAATTTTGTGAAAATCAACGGACTCATCTACTTGAGCAGCGACAACAAATCCAAGCGACTCTGCATTCCAGACGACGACAAGATCAAGGTTGCCATCCTGCATAACAGTCATGACGCAGCAAGC